AGGGCAGCGCGATCGCGGCCACGCATTAGCGGGATCGCATCCCCGCAATAGCGCGATAGCGGCCTTGCAGTAGTGCGAACGCCACCAGCCAGAATCGCGGTCCCCACCTCCAGCATCGCGAACGCCACCTGGAGCAGCGCCAAGGCGCCACCATACCCTGCTGCTATGTAGCATATTTTGATCCGACCTGACCCGACCCGTGGTGTAACCGACCCGGTTACGGGTCACAAATACCCGTTCCAACGGGGCGGGTCGGGTCACCAAAACAGAGTCAAACCCGACCCGCTAACCCGACCCGACCCGACCCGTTAAGCTAACGGGTCGCCCTAAACGGGACGGGTCGGGCCGGGTCGGGCCAGATGCCCATGCCTAGAGAAAGGGGACCTTTTGTGGAGATAGGGGGAGATAGTTCATGCACAGTTCCCAACCTCCCTCATGTCACCTTGTGACTCGACTCAATAATAAACGCAACTGCCTTCCTTAGTTCCTCATTGCCCATCTCAAATATTGATGACTCTCCTTTTTCTCGCTCTTTTTCTCGGCGTTTCGTTGTTGTAATAGCTGCTATAATTTCGTACTGTTTCCGTTCTATCCTCTTTATTACCAGGTTCAAATCTGCTTACAAGTTCCTCTTTGCAGAAACACTTCCCAAGGAGAAAGAGGCAAGTTAAGGTTACGATGATGTACATTAGAGGGGAAAGGAGAAAGGGAACCGTTCTTAACCGCTTACTGTGCATAAGAGCAATGCTGCTGTTGTGCTGTGCCTGTGAGAGTATGTCACTTCACTTGTTGGTTGGAGCACCCCCTGGATTATGAAGTACCCCCCTCTTGCTCCCGCTCCTCCCTGTCGCCCTTACTCAATCCCCTCCTTGCTGCAACACCTGCAGCATGGTCTTTCCTTTTTCTAAATCCCCACTGAATTTCTGCCACTCGCAATGCTCCCCAACCTGCTCACATCGCCCCCTCGCCTGCACCCACCCCACCTCGCCTGCACCTACCCCACCTCGCCTGCACCCACCCCACCTCGCCTGCACCCACCCCACCTCGCCTGCACCCACCCCACCTCGCCTGCACCCACCCCACCTCGCCTGCACCCACCCCACCTCGCCTGCACCCACCCCACCTCGCCTGCACCCACCCCACCTCGCCTGCACCCACCCCACCTCGCCTGCACCTACCCCTCCTTGCTGCTACACCATCACCAGGAGGTGCAGAGGCAGCTGAAGAGGGCAAAGGACGAGGAGGAGCGGAAGAAGATCAAGCGGCGACTCGCACAAATTGTAAGCTACTGTGCTCGTCTCGTCGGTGCATACTGTTTTGAGGCGCCTCAAAAGCCGGCTCACTTAGATTGTGTGCCTCACTTAGATTGTGTGCCTCACTTAGATTGTGTGCCTCACTTAGATTGTGTGCCTAGGGATGAGCAAGGTGGCGAACACCTGTTCGGTTCGCCTCGAACGTGTTCGAGGCGAACCGAACAGGTTTTGTTTTTTAGCTCAAATCGTTCGCCGAACAGTGTTCGATGTTCGCCCGAACACGTTCGTGTTCGGGCCGCTGCTGAAATTTGCCCGCGACGAACACGAACAGTGTTCGAGGTTCGCCCGAACACGCCTCCACAGGCGAACAGCGAACACCTGTTTTTTCCTAAACTGTTCGCCGAACCGAACACTGTTCGGTTCGGCAAAAGAGGGTGTTCGACAAGGGGCGAAGACGAACATGTTCGTGTTCGCCCTTTGCTCATCCCTAGTGTGCCTCACTTAGATTGTGTGCCTCACTTAGATTGTGTGCCTCACTTAGATTGTGTGCCTTGCGCCGTCCACTCCACGCATGCTGTGTCAGATCCTGACTGCGTTTCTACTTCTCTCAGAGTTCCAATGCGCGGAATTCATCTAGAAAAATTGCTCGTCCATCCGTCCTGTGGTCGAAACCATTCGCCTCTCTAGTCTCCCTGCTCCGTTCTTTCTCGCTGTCTCTAGTTTCTCTCATTTCGAGTCTGTAGCCCCCTTCGCTTGGTTCGCTCTTGTTCACTCCCTTGCCCTCCCTTTCACGCTGCCTCTCTTGGTCTGCTTTCGGCTATGATTGCCCTGCCTTTCAACAAATGCACACCCATCTCTGCTGCACCAGATTTTTCTTGTTGTCCACGCCCCTATTTTTCTCTCTCTTACCCCTCATATCCTCTCTATGCCCTTCAGACCCCGCCCGGACCCCCTCTCTCTGCCCCTCGCACACATCTCATGCCCTCTCCTTGCCCTCACACCCCTCATGCCTCTCTCTACCCCTCACCCACACCCTGGTGTTCTGTTCCACAGGAGCAGTCATTGAAGAGTGAGAGCCAGAGGCAGAAGAAGGTGGGGAGGGAGATGGAGCTGAAGCGGCAGGAGAGGGAGGCTGTGAAGGCGGGCAAGAAACCGTTCTACCAGACCAAGTGTACGTGCTGGCGTGTTTGTGTGCTGGTCTGTTTGTGTGATTGTGTGCTGGTGTGCGAAAGAGATGACTTTTGAGTCAACTTAAAAGTCATTGTAGCAGCAGGAGAGAGAGGCGGTGAAGGGGGCCATGAAACCATTCTACCAGACCAAATGGATGTGCTGGTGTGCTTGTGTGCTGGTGTGCTTGTGTGCTGGTGTGCTTGTGTGCTGGTGTGCTTGTGTGCTGGTGTGCTTGTGTGCTGGTGTGCTTGGTGTGCTTGTGTGCTGGTGTGCTTGTGTGCTGGTCTGTTTGTGTGCTGGTCTGTTTGTGTGCTTGTGTGCTGGTCTGTTTTTGTGCATGTGAGCTGGTCTGTTTGTGTGCTGGTCTGTTTGTGTGCTTGTGTGCTGGTCTGTTTGTGTGCTGGTCTGTTAGTGTGCTGGTCTGTTTGTGTGCATGTGTGCTGGTCTGTTTGTGTGCTTGTGTGCTGGTCTGTTTGTGTGCTTGTGTGCTGGTCTGTTTGTGTGCATGTGTGCTGGTCTGTTTGTGTGCTTGTGTGCTGGTCTGTTTGTGTGCTTGTGTGCTGGTCTGTTTGTGTGTTTGTGTGCTGGTCTGTTTGTGTGCTGGTCTGTTTATGTGCTTGTGTGCTGGTCTGTTTGTGTGCTTGTGTGCTGGTCTGTTTGTGTGCTGGTCTGTGTGTGTGCATGTGTGCTGGTCTGTTTGTGTGCATGTGTGCTGGTCTGTTTGTGTGCTGGTCTGTTTGTGTGCTGGTCTGTTTGTGTGCTTGTGTTTTTCTGTGCTCGTTTTCTCGTGTACTCGTGTGTTTGTGGGCGAGAGAATGTGGCCGGGGGGAGGGCGCCATGTGCTTGCCCGTACCCATGCATCACATCAATCATCCCAGCAATTCAACACTGTGCTCCCATCGGACATGCATTGCTGACCCTAAGCTTCCAGTGAGCAGAGTGGCGTGCGAAGAACTAAATTCCACCTCCCTCGACGACCCTCTCATTAGCTCACACCCCCCACAGCTCACGCCACACGACCCTCCTCCCTTGATAGCCATCCCACCTCCCCTGCCTGCTCCAGCCCACCCACCCTGCGCCCTACCTCTAACAACACGCCCTCCTCTACCCCCGACCCCAACACCCCTCTTGTCTTTGCTTGCCTCACATCCCCTTTCGACTTGCGCTGGCATCCCCTTTCGACTTGCTCTGGCATCCGGCATTGCGTGCGGTGTGGTGCGGTGCGGGTGCTGTGTGGTCATGTGGTGTAATGTTTCTCTGCAGCGTCTCGCCGGCGTGAAGAGCTGTACGAGAAGTACCAAGAGCTCAAGGTGCGCCCGTTGACATCCATCACATGCTCAGTACAGCACACAAAGCATGGGGTTGGGGTTGTACTGAACAACTCAAAGGAACCTTCTCACAAACGATCAACAATGCTGCTGTTTTTGTTTTTGTTTGTTTTTTTCCATTGGCATTACTTTCTGCTCTGGGATCATTAAATGAGCGTCGCTTCCACGGTCTTATGTCTCTCCATAGCCAAACTAGTTGTTTCCAACCACCTTTAATATCTTCGTCCCTCGCCTTTTTCTTGTGTGTGTGTGTGTGTGTTGCAGGCGGGTGGCAAGCTCGACTCATTTATGGCGAAGAAGAGGAAGAGAAATGCAGCGAGGGAGCACACCAAGGTGCCGTTCCGCCGAGAGCATTAGCAGGCTGAGTGCACATGAAGAATAATCAAGGAATTATGTGGTTGGTGACGCGTAAGGGGCATTCAAATCATCATGCACACTTGGAATGTAAAAAAAAAAAAAGCCAATTAGCATGACTTAGAAGAGATGGGATAGGACTGGTTGAGGAAACGCAGGGTCCTCCTCCCAAGTTTAGTGTTTTGAATCATATCGATAGGTTCTGCTTTGCTGCTGAGATATGCAAGGCCCTTCCATAGAAGCCTCAGAGGTGAGGACGCAGATGCATGAAGGAGCGAAGGTCTTGAATTCTAATTCATTTCACTACCAAATAAGCATACAGTATATGATTATCTCCAGAGCATGAAAAAAAGGAACACATTATGTACTACTAAATGCGAACCAGAATAATCTATTTGTTTAAATTTCTATGTAGATTACCCCTTTTTATTTATTTTTCATATCGACTGTAATGCACATGACGATTTTGCTCATGTAGGTGTTTCGAATCTCGGTAAAACAAATAGGGACTCAGAAGCGACAAAGGTGCCTACTAGGAGGCGGCTATTCCCAGTGACAGTCGCGACTAGAAACCTGAGTGACTACTGTACCCAGATTAGGGTTCGAGCACCCAATATATATTCACCACCGATCTGTAACTGTCCGTATTCTCTATGCAACTTACAGAACCAGCTTTAACCCAGCGTGCAAGGAACGTGATCCTTACGAAGTGTCGTAGCGCCTAATGAAACCAGATCCGACGAGACTAGCCAGCCACTTTGTGCCAGTCGCCGCGTAATACCCCACTTCCACATCCATGTCTAGACTGGCCAAGTCAACTACAGAGCTCCCTCGTAACCCAATGTTACACTAAGTCCTTATCTCGCTGTTTTCGCCGGTTTGACGTTTGTTTCCAATGGTGGCAAATGGCGGGGAAAAGAAGGGAGGCGAGAGAACAGCGGGGAACGGGAACCGGAGCGAGGAGGGGGAGGAGGATGGGAGAAACGATCCGGAGAGGAACGATTCGGGGGAGGTAGAGCAGGCAGGAGGGTTGGACGCGGCGTCGGGAGAGGACGAAGGTGGAGGAGGAGAGGACGGAGGGGAGGAATACGCGGACGGGAAAGAGGCGGACGGGGAGGAAGCGGAGTACGAAAATGCTGACGGAAAATTAGACGGCGACGGAGGCAAGGAAGACGAGGAGGGAGAGGAAGACGGGAAGGAGGACGATGACGAAGACGGAGACGGAGAAGAGGACGCAGAGGACGACGAGGAAGAGGAGGAGGAAGACGGAGAGGAGGATGAGGAGGAGGAGGACGAGGAGGAGTGCGACGATCAGTCGCCCGTGGAGGAGGTCGCACTGACGGTGGCGACGTTCGACGACCCGTCGCTGCCGTGCCTGACGTGGCGCGTCGTAATCATTGGCAGTATCGTGTGCGCGCTGCTCGCCTTCATCAACCAATATTTCTGGTTCAGGTGGGCCGTGCTTCTGCTTCAGGTGCGGGCTGCTTCAGGTGGGCGCTGCTTCAGGTGGGGGCTGCTTCAGGTGGGCGCTGCTTCAGGTGCGGGTTGCTTCAGGTGCGCGCCTGGACAAACCAAGTCGTAAAAGAGAAGCTTCATGCAAAGCAGTGCTCCTGGTTTCGGTGGGCCCAGCAGCATGTACACACACCCCGAGCCCAGCCAGCATGCATGCAATCTCGTCCAAGTCCTCAGCTGGTTTCCTTTCCACTCCAGTCACTGCACGTCGTGAACAGCAGTTTCAGAACCTGCATTGCCCGATGCCCATGCATTGCTTGCCACCTTCTCCATGTATCATGCCCGTATGCTGTGAACGCCCGATGCACGGGCAACCCATGGGTCTCTCCCATGCCCACCACCGCCCTCCTCCGTGCGTTCTTGCTTTCCAGTCACTGCCCCCTTCACCTCGGTGAATGGTGAGTATTACCGGAATGCTCGTGCCATGCTTTTCATGCGGACGATGCCTGTAACCCGTGTGTGTCTGTGTGTGTGTGCCCATGCGTGTACCTGTGCATGTGCGTGTGCGTGTTCATGTGCATGTCCCTGTTCATGTGCATGTGCATGTGCATGTGCGTATCATGCACCACAGGACCCAGTCCATCATCATCAACCCCATCGCTGCTATCATCCTATCTCTCTACATGGGTCGCCTCTTAGCGAGGATAGAGCGCCGCTTCAACCCCGATGCACTCCCCTTCAGCGTCAAGGTAACGAGACGATTACATGCCAACCAATCTAGTGCAAGCGCACATGCTCAAAGAGGTGAGTTTTGAGTCGACTAGTCGCCTCGCTTCAACCCCGATGCTCTCCCCTTCAGTGTCAAGGTGATATATGCGTGCCCAGCTGGTGCAAGAGTTGATGTCACGTTTGAGAATTCCAGAAGATTGCATGGGCGTGGGCTGTTGTGACGTGCCATGACATGACGATGATGCTGCAAGAGCCTGGCGTAGGTAGGTAGGTCCCTGAAAGGAGGTGCGGCTGCATGCATGGGCCAGTGCCAGTCAGTCGGTGTGGGCGGGCGGGCAGGTGGATTATGCATGGACGCGCACACATGCACATGCAGTGCGATTGACGCTCAAATCGCACACATAAACACGCACATGCACTTACACATGCACATACACATGCAGATACACATGCACATGCACATGCACATGCACATGCAGTAGTGCAGCTGTGGGATGAAGTGGTGTGCATGTACAAGGAAGGAAGGCATCACCAGGCTCCATCCAGGCAGCCTCCAAGCACCACACCAAAGTGCATTGCGCTTCAGCAGCATTATGTGTGACCTGCATGTGTGTGTGGGGGAGGGGAGAGGTGGGGGGGAGGAAGGGGGAGGTGTGGGGGAGGTGGGGGGAGGTGGGGGGGAGGTGGGGGGGGAGGGGGGGGGAGGTGGTGGGGGGGGAGGGGGGGGGGGAGATGGGGGGGAAAGGAGAGAGGAGATGCGGGGGGAGGGAGGGGGGGGGTGCGTGCGTGCGTGTGGGCATGCTGCATGATGCTGCTTCCCGTCCACTGCCCCCCACAGGAGCATGTGCTGATCGGCATTTTCGCCAACTGCGGTTCAGCCTTTGGCAACGGCAATGCGTATGCCATTGACATCGTGACCATCATGAAGCAATTCTACGACGTTGTGAGTGCCTCCTGCCCTACTGCCCCCACGCCCTCCTGCCCCCACGCCCTCCTGCCCCCACGCCCTCCTGCCCCCACGCCCCCATTACCCCATACCTCCATTACAACCCACCCCCATGTCTCTCTGCTTCCACCTCGCTTCTCTGCACTGCACCCTTCTGTGTGCATGTTCATGTGCCGCCACCCTTCTGTGTGCATGTTCTTCAATCCATTTCTTCCCAATTTTCTTAGCAACGGACCAACGGTAGTCATATACACTCTTCTTTCTTGCCCAATCAAAATCCTTCTCATTGCTGCCCTTCCAACCACGAGTGATCACGACTGCCCATCCCTTCACGACTGCCCATCCCTTCACGACTGCCCATCCCTTCACGACTGCCCATCCCTTCACGACTGCCCATCCCTTCACGACTGCCCATCCCTTCACGACTGCCCATCCCTTCCTTCCTCACATGCCTTCCCTCCAACTCCCTTCTACGTACTCCTCACTTTCCCAACTCGCCTTTCTCATCCCGCTTCATCTGCCCCCGTGACCGCTCTTTCTCTTCCCAACCTCCCGCCCTCCCCTCCTCTCTCTCTCTCTCTTCCACTCCCCCCCTCGCCCTACCAGCATTTGGCCTTCTTCCCGGCCTTTCTGCTCGTCACCACAACGCAAGTGCTTGGATACGGGTGGGCGGGCATGTTCAGACGGTACCTCGTGGTGAGATTGGCGGGCCTGGGTACGATGGGCGGGCAGGGAAGTGGATGGGTGGGCAGGGAAATTGATGGGCGGGCAGGAAAGTGGATGGGCGGGCAGGGAAGTGGATGGGCGGGCAGGGAAGTGGATGGGCGGGCAGGGAAGTGGATGGGTGGGCAGGGAAGTGGATGGGCGGGCAGGGAAGTGGATGGGCAGGGCGGGCGTGCATACGGATGGGCATTCTCACACTCTCAGCCACTCCTCTGCCTTCCCAGCCGCCCCATCATCTCATCATGCCCACCTCCTCTGTCGCTCCCACCCATCCACCCACCCACCGATAGTAGTCACTCATTTTCCCTCTCCTTTCAGTCTTCACTCTTAGTTGCCCTTGCCCTTTCCCCACCTCGCCCCTCCCCATTACCGCATCTCTCATCACCGATGCAACCCACCCCCCCCCGCTCCCCCCACACCCCCCCGCTCCTCCCCCCCCTCCCTTTCTCAATCTCCACCCTTCCCCTGCCCCTCCTCTCCCACCATCGCCCCCGGCTGTGCCTCATTGCCCCGCGTCAGGAGCCACATGTGGTGACCCTCCGTCTATATCACTCACAACCAACGCCCCTCCTCCTCCCCCCTCCTCTCCTCTCCCTGTTTTCCACCCGCCCTTGCCCCTCCTCTCCCCCCATTGCCCCCCATCGGCCCCACTGCCCCTCATCAAGAGCCAGCCCACATGTGGTGGCCCACACACCTGGTCTACATCTGTCATTACCGAACCCTCCTCCCCACTCTTCCCCCCTCCTCCCCTCTCCCTACTCCCCACTCCTTTCCCCTCCTCCCCTTTCCCTGCTTCCCACCCTCCCTTGCCCGTCCCGTCTGTCCCCAAACCGTCCCCCCCTGCCGCTCATCAGGAGCTGGCGCACATGTGGTGGCCACCAGACCTCGTCTACGTCTCCCATTACTCATGCCCTCTCTCTCCCCTGCTTCCCACCCTCCCCTCTGCCCCCTGCTTCCCACCCTCCCCTCTCTCCCCTGCTTCCCACCCTCCCCTCTCCCCCCTGCTTCCCACCCTCCCCTCTCCCCCCTGCTTCCCACCCTCCCCTCTCCCCCCTGCTTCCCACCCTCCCCTCTTCCCCCTCTTAACGCATCATCGTCATGATTGCTCATCAGGAGCCGGCACACATGTGGTGGCCCACAGACCTTGTCTATGTCTCACTCTACCGGTACGTACCACTCCTTTCCACCACGCCCCCTCCTTCCACTTTCTCCCCTCGCTCTCCGTCGTTGGAAGCATCCTGGCATGAAGCATGAGTCTAGGTTCAGGCAAGCAAGCTCTCGTTTCCGTCCGCACCCTTCACCCGTCCCCCCCACACCTTCTTCCCTCTGATCCATGGGTATCAGCTCAATTGAAAATAATATTGAAGCGCGGCGCCTTTAAAATGGCACCCTTTTCCCCTTTTCCCCCATCTCCCCCATTTTGATCCATGGCTATGAGCCCTCTTGAGCCCTCTTGAGCCCTCTTGAGCCCTCTTGAGCCCTCTTGAGCCCTCTTGACCCCTCTTGAGCCCTGAATCCAGCAATTCAGTGTCATACAATCACATGCCTCCCCATGCCCACTGCCTCCCCATGCCCACTGCCTCCCCATGCCCACTGCCTCCCCATGCCCACTGCCTCCCCATGCCCACTGCCTCCCCATGCCCACTGCCTCCCCATGCCCACGCCCATCTGCTTGCACAGACCCCTCTTTGGGTTCCTTAGACACCAAACCAACCATCCCCTCCCTCCCCTCCCCTCCCCTCAACTCCCCTCTCTTCTCCTCAGCCAGCTGCCTCTTTCATCCCACGCAACGCCCTGCACGAGTGAGACACAACACATGAGTGAGACACAACGCACGAGTGAGACACAACACACGAGTGAGACACAACACACGAGTGAGACACAACGCACGAGTGAGACACAACAGACGAGTGCGCAGCATGCTGACACGCACGCTCTTCTTCTGTCGCACACTTCCGGTCCTCCCTTCGCACTCGGACTCTGCCACCCAGCTTCCGGAACTTGTCACCCTTCCGATCGTGTCACCACCTCTTGCTGGTCCTTCTTCTCCTTCCTCCGTCTGTAGGTGATAAGTGCTTCTGGGCCCGTCCCAAAAGAAGGCGCTCGGAATTACTCTTCAAGCCCCAATCTCTTCTCTCAGCGTCTAGCTTAACCGCTCGTCGCTTGGCTTCTCAATCGCAGATCTAGTCGTAAAGCAGTGAGAATCCTTCATTCACTAGCAAGCATACAGACTTTCCCACGAGTTGAAGAAGAGAAGCAAGAGTGGCAGCTCAGGTTCCCTACCTAGGCTTATCACTCCCTTCCCGTAGGGTCCCTTCTCCTCCTGGGCTGCTACCCCTGCTCAGCATCGAGATCTACTCCGAAGCGCGCGAACCTCTTCCACCCTTGGACATTTCTCGTGACCCCTCCCCCGAGTCGCTCCAGTCAGCTTTGACCCAATCTTGCGTCACTTGGGCGTTGGGTTACTCACCCTCGACCCTCGTGGCTGTTTTTACTGTATATATTCCTCCCGTCTACAGTACACCCGAATTATCACATTTGTCACCCTTATCTATTTCCTGTCCATACACTGGTCATGTTTTACCTTTAGAGCTGTCCCATGAATCCTTTGATGCGTGTTTCATCAGGAGTCATGCGACACTTCCTCCTCGTCATCCCCCCACCACCTTTTGTAGCTCCACTCCAGGTGCCTCTACTCCACAACCCCACCCCACCCCCACCCCACCCCATTCCACCCCACCCCGCCCCATTCCACCCCACAACCCCCTCCTCCCCTCCCACCAGCACCCTCCTGCCCCACTCCTGCTGCTTTACGCAACTCCACAAACCACACCCCTCCCCCCCCTCCCCCTCTCCTTCCCTCCTCCTCCCTCCCCTCCCCTCCCCCCTTTCCCTCCCACCAGAACCCTCCATGAGTCAGACACGCCAGCGCGCGGCATGCTGACACGGGCGCATTTCTTCTTCCTCATCACAGCGCTCTCCTTCTGCTGGTACCTCGTGCCCGGCTACCTCATCCCCATCGTCTCCTGCCTCTCCTGGGTCTGCTGGGTCTGGCCCGCCTCCATCACCGCGCAGCAGCTCGGCTCAGGTGGGTGCTTAGCCGTCGTTCCCCTTCGCCCAGCCTCCTTTCCCCCTCCCTCTCTTCCTCCCCCTACCCCTTTCCTCCCCTCTCCTGGGTCTGCTGGGTCCGGCCTTCCTCTATCACCGCACAGCAGCTCGGCTCAGGTGAATTCTTCGTCTCCATTCTCCCCCTTCTCTCCCCATTCCTTCCCCCTCGCACTGGCTGGGTCTTACTTTCCTCTGTCACCGCACAGCAACTCGGCTCTGATGGGTGCTTCATCTCCTGTCTCACCCTGCCCCACTCTCCCCTCCCCCCACTCTCCCCCCTTCCCCCCATCTCTCTGCGGCGCTCTCGTTCTCCCTTCCTAGTGCCTGTTTTGCCCCTCTCTGCCCCTGAATCCCCTCATCACAACCCCCCCCCCCACATGCTTCCAGCCTCGTACCCCTCCTTTCTCCCCTCCTTACTCCCGTTTCTGCTCTCCCTGCCTCTGGTTTCTCCTCGCTCATCCTTTGCCTCCCCATCACACCATCCCCGCCCTCTGTTTCCCCCCCTCCTTATTCCCCAGGGCCAAGGGGCATGGGTCTGGGTGCAGCAGTCACCCTCGACTGGGCCACCATGGCCGCCTTCCTCTCCTCGCGCCTTGCCGCCCATTTCACCTCACATTTTCTCAGAGTATTTTCCCCCACAACATCTCCCCATCCATTTCACCCTGCCTTGCCAGGTCTGAGGAACATGGGTTGGGCGGCTGGGCGTCATCACTCTTGTCTGAGACAGCATATTGACCAGCCTTCCTCCCCCCCCACCCTTTCTTCCGCCCCCAAGGTCTGAGGGGCATGGTACTTGGTGCAATCTCTCTTGACCAAGCTACCGTGTCCGCGTTACTACCATTCCCAATATCACTACTCTCCTTTTTCCTCGTTCTCCCCCTTCCTCCACCCCCTTCCTCCACCCCCTTCCAGGTCTTCTGATTGCCATGGGTCTCGGCGCCACAGCCTCGTTTTGGTTACCATGTCAACCTTCCTTCCCTCGCCCCTCGCCCCTCGCCGTATATGAGATCACTCCCCACCCACTTCCTCTCTCTCTCTTCCCCTCCTTCTCTCTTCCCCTCCTTCTCTCTTCCCTCCCTTCCCTCGTTCCCCCAACCCAACAAGGTCTGAGAGGCATGGGTCTGGGTGCAATCACGCTTGTCTGGGCAACAATGTCGGCCTTTCTCTCCTCGCCCTCCCACTCCTAAGATCGCTCCACACCCCCCTTTTTCTTTTTCCCCTCCCCTCCCCACCCAACCAGGTCTGAGGGGCATGGGTCTGGGTGCAATCACGCTCGACTGGGCAACAATGTCGGCCTTTCTCTCCTCGCCCTCCCACTCTTAAGATCACTCCACGCCCCCCTTTTTCTCTTTCCCCTCCCCTCCCCACCCAACCAGGTCTGAGGGGCATGGGTCTGGGTGCAATCACGCTCGACTGGGCAACAATGTCGGCCTTCCTCGCCTCGCCCCTCGCCGCGCCCTGGTTCGCCATCCTCAACGTTGGAATCGGCTTCGCCCTTTTCGTCTACGTCCTCATCCCCATCTGCTACTGGGGCAACGTTTTCGCCGCCACCCGCTTCCCCTTCCTCTCCTCTGGAACCTACCAGTGGTCGGGGGATCGATACCCGGTGCAGGCGATTATCACACCAGATTTCCGGCTGAACGAGACGATGTATACGGAGCAGAATCTGGCGCCGTATATATCGGTGTTCTTTGCGCTGTGCTACGGGCTGGGGTTTGCCGCGCTGACTGCGACGGTGGTGCACGTGGCGCTGTGGTATGGGCCGGAGATCTATCAACGGACGATGAGTGCTGGTAAGTGCGGATGGGTGCAGTGCGGTGGTGTGGTGTGGCGCTGTGGAATATACGGGTGGTATGGGTCGGAGATCTATCAGTGGACGATGAGTGCTGGCGGGTGAAGTGTTGGGTGGGTGGTGGTAGATCAGTTGGTGTCATGTCATGTATAAGATAGCACTGCTGTGGTATGGCCAGGAGATCTACCAGCAGATGATGAGTGCTGGTGGATGCAGGTGGATGTGGTGCGGTGGTATGGTGGTGTGGTATGTATGGTGGTATGGAAGGTCGACCAATGCAAGGCAAGGTAACATACCTGATTGCACACATGTACAGGCACATACATGCTTTTCCTTTCACATGCACTTCACATGCACACTCACACACACTCACACACCACACACACACACTCTCACACACCACACACTAACACCACACACTCACACACCACACACACTCCTGTACACATGCATGTACTTGCTGTTCCAGAGCTTCTATCATGTGCGGTGCCAAATCACAATGCACTCCATCCTCCCCCTCCCTCTCAGGCAGAGGTAAAGCGTGGTGTGCACACATGTCTTATGCCACTGTTGAGTCGACCCAAAAGTCACCTCGTGTGCACACATGTCTTATGCCACTGTGAGTCATCTCAAACCACCCACACCCATCCCATTCGCATGGCCCCTACGTCCTGCCCTCTCAGCCACAGAGGCAAAGCCCGACGTGCACATGCGCCTGAGGGGTCTTGAAACAAGTCACCCACTCACAGGATATCTCCCATTCTACCCCACGTTCCTCTCTCCATTCTCTCCATTCACAGGTGCCCTGGTGCTGGCTCCTGCTGCTCCTCATGCAGCTGTAAGACGCCTCAAAAGCCTCCTCATTCCTTCCCCCCACCCCCCCCCCCTCCTCCTCCCCCCAACTACTCAGCAGCCATAGAGGCAAGACCTCGAGAGCAGCTGTCAGCCATCTCAACCTGTCAGATTCTCCCCCCTCTCCTTCCAATCCCTATCAGCCACGGAGGTGAAACCCGACGTGCACACGCGGCTCATGCAGCGCTACCCCAAGGTGCCCTGGTGGTGGTTCCTGCTGCTGCTCCTCGCCAACATCGCTGTCTGCATCGCCTTCCTCGAACTCAACGCCTACTTCCAGCTGCCCTGGTGGGGCCTGCTGCTCTCCGCCGCCCTCTCCCTCTTCTTCACCCTGCCCATCGGCATAGTCACCGCCACAACCAATCAGCAGCCGGGGCTCAATATAATCACGGAGATGATCTGGGGGTATATTCGCCCCGGGGAGCCGATAGGGAACGTGTGTTTCAAGACGTATGGGTACATTAGCATGACGCAGGCCATCGCCTTCTTGCAAGACTTCAAGCTCGGGCATTACATGAAGGTGGGCAAATTCCTGATTACTGTTGCAAACAGTATATATATATATATATATATATATATATATATATATATTTTCGTTCTTTCGGTTTCTATTTTTACATCTAAAAAATTTGTTGAATGTTTGCAGATTCTCCCACTTCGCCACACACAGTTGCTCCGTTTTCATTCACACTCTTCATCTGCCCTCGTTCTCACACACTGCATCTGCCCTTCGGAAGGGTTTTCGTGTGTGTGTATAGCTGCTGGTATCTTCGAAACAAATTCTTTCCCACTCTGCCCACTTTCTGTATGTGCATGTGCATGTGCATGTGCATTCATGTGCATGTGCATATCCATGCATGCACACAGATCCCACCACAAGCCATGTTTGTGGTGCAGGTGTTCGCCACTATCTTGGCAGGCCTTGTCAATCTCGGCACGTCCTGGTGGCTTTACGACACCGTGGAGAATGGGCTCATCTGCAAGGTGGGAAGGAGCTGTTAAGGTGCGTTAGACGTCACTGCCCTGCGCGGCCCCGTGCCATGGTCCTTCTTAAGTGGCTATAAATGCCCATGTGGCTTTATGACACCGTGGAGAATGGGCTCATGTGCAAGGTGGGAGGGATTGGGATGGGAAGGAATGGGCTCATGTGCAAGGTGGGAAGGATTGGGATGGGAAGGAATGGGCTCATGTGCAAGGTGGGAAGGATTGGGATGGGAAGGAATGGGTTCATGTGGAAGGTGGGAAGGATTGGGATGGGAAGGAATGGGCTCATGTGGAAGGTGGGAGGGATTGGGATGGGAAGGAATGGGCTCATGTGCAAGGTGGGAAGGATTGGGATGGGAAGGAATGGGCTCATGTGCAAGGTGGGAAGGATTGGGATGGGAAGGAATGGGCTCATGTGCAAGGTGGGAAGGATTGGGATGGGAAGGAATGGGCTCATGTGCAAGGTGGGAAGGAAGAACGAACTTTCTTGCCTTCTCCCTCTCTTTGTCCCCCTTTAGTCAACTCATAAGTCCTGGTGTCTCTACGACACCTTTTGAGACGCGTCAATAGACATCTCATAAGTTCTGACTTCTCCATGACACCGTGGAGAATGGGCTCATCTGCAAGGTGGGATGGGAAGGCAACAACGTATCAGGCGCTTCAAAACAGTCCTGTCTTGTTTTGAGGCGCCTCAGAAGCTGTGGACGAATTGCAGGGTATGATACAGTGGCTCGGCAACATGATCAAGAATGGGCTCGTTGCAAGGTGGAAAAAGAGGAACTTCCTTGCCTTTCTCCACCTTTGCTTGCCATGCCACATCCCGTGCACTCTCTACCACCCTCTCTTCCAATCAATCTTCTACTCAACGTCCTTTATCTGGGGACACATCAGCCTCGAACGCATGTTGTGTTCCTTGTCGCGCCTTAGTACCCATGTCTCACTGACCAATTTCCATCTGCATGGAATTCCTTCCTTTCCCTCCACTCCCCCTTTCCGCTCCTCCTCCCGCGTCCCCGTGCTCCCATCCCCACTCACCTCCCCTAAATCAGATCAATGACGAGAACTTCCCGGAGAATTCCCCATGGACGTGCCCGACAGCCAACGTGTTTTACTCTGCTTCAATCATCTGGGGGCTGATCGGCCCCGAGCGCATGTTTGGCCCCACAGCTTTCTACAACAACCTCAACTGGTGGTTCCTTGGAGGGGCGCTCGCTCCCATCCCCTTCTGGGCCGCGCACAAGATGTGGCCGCGCCAGGTGGTAAGTTGGTAGAGACACGTTGTGAGATCATGCAGACAGATGGTGAGTGAGATGATGCAAAAGATGGTGGGATGGTGCAGGCACATGTTGACTCCATGCAGATGGAGGGTGAGTCAACGCAGACAAATGGTGAGTTGTTCAAAAAAGTTGGTGGGCTGGCAGAGGCAGCCAGTGGGTTGGCAAAATCGGTTGGTGGTTCTGTGGGGAACCCTGTCACAGATCTTATTTAGAGCTGGAGCTTGATGATGGCTTGGCATCGGCAGGTGGTGGGATGTTGGGGACAGAGGTTGCGTGAGTTGACGACACAGGTGGCAGTTGCGGATATTTCACCGTGACATATTGACAGTGGCTCTGTGGCCGTTTTTTAAGTTTTGAAAATCAGAACATGTGTTGGGCCGTGGCTACATACCATACTAATCACCTCCTTCATTTTGATGGCTGTCTCACTCCCATGTCGCTTGCAGTGGTTGACCAAGGTGCATATCCCAGTGATGCTCACAGGCGTGGGCATGATGCCGCCGGCTTCACCCATCAACTACCTGGGCTGGCTCACCATGGGCTTTATCTTCAACAAGCTCATCTTCACTTACCGAAAGGTGCGGTATGGTAGCACGCCTCTGATTGGTCTGCTTTCCAGCAATAACATTCCAAGTATGTTCTCATGACAGCTTGATTCATTCACCATCATTCACAGGGAGAGGAATACAGTATGCGTTTTGCCTGTATCTGACCCTTGCGTCTGCGGCTCCTCCTTTTCGTAATTTTCCAGGATTGGTGGCGTCGCTACAACTACGTGCTGTCAGCAGCACTTGATTCTGGAGTCATGTTCATGGCACTTTTCATATTTTTTGGGGTTCAGGTTGAAACCCCTTCAGTTTCCCTCTCCTGGTGGGGTGCTGGTGTAACATCTTCTGATAACTGTCCGCTGGCTATGTGCGCAACTGATCCCACAGCAGTTACATCAGTAAATTCTGCATGTCCAAACTATGTTGGTAGCTGATACCGGTACCCTTTATACCATACGATTTGTCTGCCTTAATCTCACTTAAATCGATCAGATCGGATCGGACTCTGAAATACCGTAATAATAACACGTTCATACAATCCCAATCCTGAGAGGCATCTCTGCTCTGGCATGGATGTGCCTGCTGAAACATTGACTCGTGTGATTCAATGAAAACATTTCAGACTGCCAAACATGACCCCCACTGTCTGGGATTACTACTGAACAACGGCCATCCATCAGGTTTTCTATGTGTCCATTTAATTGTTGGTAGTCATCATCTCCCAAGCATCGAACGAAATCACTTTTATAGCTGGTCCAGAGTTGAATAAATATATACTGTTTGATTTCCCGGTTGTTGGGTATGCTCTTGCTGTTATGACAGACTCTCCTCCTTGGGCAAAGGACTCCACAATTGAGTTGTCCACCTGAAGTGAAAAAAATATAGTAAATATATGAGAAAATGAAGATGCTGGTTGAAGAAAGTATCTCCGCTAGCTTACTTACCAAAACTCTAAGCATGAGCCTATCCTCAGATTCCTGCAGCAGAAGCTGACTCCCATATATACTCTTCTCCGCAGTTTCTGACAATGAAGACCTGTACGCATAACGAGTCAGGCTAAGCAAGGCAGGTTCAGAAATAATCTTTCTCACCTTCTTTGGTCACTGCAGAATCGAACTTGCCATTGACCCAAAGGTCCACCACTGGCGAGCTCGAAATAGATAGATGTTCTTTCTTCCAAATTTGCTGAGGCAAGAACATGGACCCCAAATCGGCCAGCAACTTTTGAAACAGAATTTTCATCCCAACCACAGTCACTGTCAAGAGGGCGGTACTCCGTCGTGATGTTGGGAATGGCAAATACTATCTCCATATCCACCTGCAGTCAAGAATTGTTAATAATCGAACGAACACTCCGTGGAAAGCCTTCAAAGCGTTCCATTACCTGCATGCTTGTAAGGCCGTTGACAAGCTTGTTCATCCCCTCCTTTAGTGTGAGGCCAGCATCATGTAAGTGTCTTCCTCGCAAAAGCTTTAACTCCGCTACAGGCTCCATCAACAAGTGCTTTCCTGTTGACCTGTCCAAACTGACAACACGTGGAATAGCTTGGACTGAAGCCCAACCTTTAGATATGTCGTCATTTTGTGAATCGGACTCATTCACCCATCCCCATAAGATACGGCGGTGCCTGGACGGGTCATAAAAGGTCTTTGATGCATAGAACTTCCCATAGTCGTATCGCAGCCCATTTTGGACATCGATTTGCGGATCCACTGGAACCCAAGTTTCATTTGCTTGGCTGTAGGTTCCAATGGCATAGTAATCAAGAAAATCGTCATCAAAGGATGCCTTTAGAACGTGACGGCAAACGTCATCTTCAGAGCACGTATCCAGTCCAGCATTGCCATTCGTAGAAACAGGATATAAATCAGGACACTGCATGAGAAGGAGCTCGTTAAATTAATAGATAAACAAGAAACCCGCACATCATACTGGGACCCAAAACACTTACCTCCCACATTCCAGCTCGTCCTGGCGCCGTCCTAACCGTTTGAGGAATTTTCGACCAGTTAGTGAAGTCCTTGCTCTTGTACATAAACACGCAATCGGTCCCATTTTGCCTTGACCCAACAATCATTCGCCACACTCCGTCACTTCCCTTCCATGCGGATGGGTCTCTGAAATCAAATTTGCCAACTCCAGGAGGTGGAACGGCTATGGGATTGTAAGGGCTTTTCACCCATGTTGTGAGGTAAGGATCAGATGCGTTTTCTGGAAAAGCCAGGTTTTGTAGCTGCACATTATCTTTGCTGCTTCCGGTGTACAGGATAGCAGGAGTTCCGTCACTAAGAACCACAGCGGAACCCGACCATGCACCCATTGCGTCATACCACTTGTCAGGACTGATGGCCACTGGCAAGTGGGTCCACTGCCAGCAGGAGCATGTCAGTCAAGGACGACATAGCAGGTATAAAACATGTTGAACCTGCTTCATACCTGGATCAAGTTGCTTGAAACTGCATGACCCCAGCTTATGTTACCCCAAACTGCTCCAAAAGGATTGTACTGGTAGAATAAATGATAGTATCCCTTGTAGTACATTGGCCCTGAATGAAGACATAATAGTAAGAAACTGACCCGCCGACATAGGTCCCAAAAAAGCAGCGCTCACCATTCGGATCTGCAAAGGGAAAACGGGGGTTCAGTCATCAAGGGCACAATGAGATGTTTACTACATAGTCACTGATTTTACCCACTGATGTATACTGACCATTCATCCAGTTCCCTTCCGGTTGAAAATGGAACGCTGTCCGTCTGTTAGGTATTCTGTGCTTAGGTGATTCATCTCTTGCTGAATGATAGAAGTTGATAAATCCACCTACGCAGCCTGCGGAAAATGCGATAAAAAGCAGGAAAAATGTGCAGCATTTATGTAGGCGTTCCTTTCTCTCTGAGTGAAGTAGTGGATGGCGAAGCTCTGGGAGGCTTGCCATTTGGTGAAAGCTGTCGGAAACAGCTCACAGACTGAGGTAGCTGACAGGCAGTCCTTGGTCTGACGGCTGCTGATGAAGCTAGGTAAGGCTAAATATGAGTTGGCAAGTGCGGGTGAAAGGCAGAAGCAGTGGCAATATGGTCGGCGATAGTCGATATTGGCGCAATTCGTTACGATACACGAGTCGCTATTGCAGCAACATCTATAATCGGCTCATGATTGAGGTGTTGTGATCTAACAACGCAAGCAAAATGTTTCCTAAATGGACACGATCAAATCACCGGTACGATAAAGTACCACAGTTCTACTCAAAATATGAAGAAAGATCTGGGTACAAGTTTTCAGAACAAAAAGAGGTACAGGAATTAAATCTATATGACAAAAAACCAGTCATATTATGATGACATAGCTCCAAGAATCTTGAATGTATTTTTTCACAGATGGAGAGGGCTTTTCATGTCTTCTAAGCACCAGAAATCCTTCATGTCATTGATATCAATGAAGGATCATGTTTTCGTCTCTTTCTGGTACAGAGGAGCTCTCAATCGAAGACAGTGATATATATTTTGGTGAAGCAGTTTCAAATTTCGTCTCTCGAATGATCATCAGTCACAACTTGGTCGGAGACAAGTCCTGCTGTCATTTCCATCAGAACAGTCTTGTGCAGCTGTGCCAATTTATCATTGATCCTGAGAATCGTTCAGCGCTAGTTCGTCTATAGCAATGGATATGAATGAAGTCCAATCAAGACTCCTGTCGCAATCAGTTGAGCCGTCTGACAACTCGAGTGATATTCTCCTTTTCGATGCTTCCAGAGATAGACGTAGAAGCAAGAAGAAACATCCGACTGTAAAGCGGGCCGACGAGCTGCTAAGAATGTGCAACCTGAAATTTGAGCCGGGCACTTTCGGCGTGGTATGTGGAGGAAAATTACGCCCGACTCGCCATGCAGATTTTTCTTGTAATTGATTAGAACCGAGTTTCCTAATGAGGAGTTCCCAGCGCCAGCCACACACCACTTGGAAGTTGACTGCCGGTAAACAGGCGTTGGGCAGCTACGGGAGATGGCGATTGGTCATCGCTTGCTGTCGCATCAATCCAACCGTTCCATTCAGTGTCCGGCTCAGCCCGACATTCCGAAGCCCTCACGGTCCTGTCGCGGCTCTTGCGACTGAGATTGTCGCGAGAATGCGTGTGCCATCCGACTAAGCAACTGTTCTCGTAGCTGACAGAAATATCGTGCCAAACCTTCCTGATTCCTCGTCCTTACTACGCCTCCTTTTTAAACTAGCTTTTCCGTATCTCTTCCTTCCGCCATTATCACCCCATTCTCTGCGCAGGGTGAGGTAGCCAAGGCTGTCATCTGCTTCGACATCGCCTGCCACCTGTACGCGTTATAATCTTCCCCCTACCCTGAAACACAACCCCCTCGAACAACCATCTTTCCCTCCCTCTCTCCCTCCCTCCCCTTTTCCGTCCGTCAATCCGCCTGTCCGTCCGTCCTTCCGTCCGTCCGTCCGTCCGTCCGTCCCTCTTTCCCTCCCTGACTCCCTCCCTCTCTCCCTCTCCTCTTCCCTCCCTTCTTCCCTCCCTCCCTTCTTCCCTCCATTCCTCCCTCCCTCTCTCAATCCCTCCCTCCCTCCCTCCCTCCCTTCTTCCCTCCTCCCTCCCTCCGTCTCTCCCTCACTGCCTCCCCTTCTCATCCCCCTCCCCGGTTCCCATCTCCCACTCCCTCCCATCCACCCCTTCTTCCCTTCCCTCCCTCTCGTTCCCCCCGTTCCCCCTCTCCTCACCACCCGCCGAAGCGCGAACGCACTTCCAACCACCCTCAATATTATAATCACCGCCTACGCGCTCGTGACACACCCACCCCTCCACCATCTGCACGGGTACTACTCACGCTGGTGCCATGCCCTGCAATGACATTGGAAGGCTGGGCTGGGAGGTACCACAACCACCCCACGATGCACTGATGCACTCGCAGGCTGGCTGGCACTGCATGGGATGCTCGGAAAGCCTTTATGCTAAAAGGCTTGTCCTCTCCTTCCCCCCTCTCCTCCCCTCCCTTCCCACGCTTTCCTGCCCCACTCACTCGTGTCAACGGCAAAATGGCCTTACGGTTCCATGGCAGGATGGGCAGCACAGCAGTGGAGGCGCGCAAGGCAGCCAAGCTGAGCTGCATGTCTCCACCTGCATACGCCCAGGCGCGAGCAGCCATTCAGAACGCTCTAGGCGTCAGGTATGCGCAGTTGCTGGCATCAATTGCAAAGCTGCAACTCAACACAGCCACTGCCCAAGGCCACCACCCTGGCGTATGCCAACAACATGGGCCCGGGCGCGCGCGGCCATTCAGAACCGCTCTCAGTGTCAAGTAAGCGCCGTTGTTAGGATATACTTTTGAGGCACAGCGCACCGCAGTCTGTTAAGCGGCGTGAGCCCAAGTGACCCTTGCCTGCCTCCTAAGTAAGACCCAGCACAAGCCACAGCAGCGTGACTCCAAGGCCACAGCCACCACGTTTCGTCACGCCGCTGGGCCAAGCTCGGGTTGGGCCAGGTTACAGGCTTCACGCTTGTGTATCTATTGTATCTATGCCCTTCTCTACGCATGTCCCACCGGCCATTTGTCATGTGCATTTCACCGCATGCCTCTCGCCACACCACATGCCAGCTGTACTATTCTGTGCGCTGTGCGCGTGCAGGTCGCAGTTGAGCCTACCCCAGTTGGCCCTTCAGTTTGGGTGCATGCGAGTGCTGGAGTCCACCCAACGCAACCTGCACATGTGAGGAAAGGGAAGGGGGAAAGTGGATGGATTTATGGAGAGGGAGTGGGCCTGTCAGTGCTGCGTGATGAGAAGAAGCGGTGCCACAGTTTTCCACTGTTGCTTCGTTTCCTCTCCGAGCCTCGTCTTCCACCCTGCCCCCTTCCCTTACCCCTTCTCCCTGCCCTCTCCCTCCTGCACCCTCCATCCTGTCCCCTCACCTCACCTCCGTGGTGGTCTGCCTACCGCCTCTCAGCTTCACCGCGCGCTTCACTGCTGCCCTCCCAGAGGCACGCAGGGGAGGCACTGACTTCTCCCGGCCGGCATACATGGCAGCGGCGCTCATGCTCACTGCCACACGCAACCAAGTACGCTGTGGGCTTCTGTTCAGTCCACTCACAACAATTGAGTCGCCTTAAAATTCACCCCATGGCAGCAGCGCTCGTGCTCACAGCCACATGCACCAAGTGCGCCGTGGGTTACGTTCGAGTCAACTCACAACTTCCGAGTCAACTCACTCACACTTTTTGAGTAAACTCTCATACTTTTGAATTGCATCAAAGGTCACCTCATGGCAGCTGCGCTGAGCTCACTCACTGCCACACCACATGAAATTAAGTGCGCCATGAGTTTCCCATGTTCTGTTGTGCGAATGCATGGGATGTACCTGGTGTGAGTCCCTAGTTGCAGTGTGTTTATGTGTTTATGGTGGCGCCAGGGCTTAGGTATGGTGGCCAGAGGGGGAAGGGATGGAGGGGGACGGGAATGAGAATGGGGGGGGAGGGGGGGGGGAGGGGGTGGGAGTTGGTGTGAGAAGGTGTGGTGGGTTGAGTTGTTGAGGGTGTCTCCAGTGGTGAGAGCAGAGAGTTATGAGTCGTCTCAATCAAGAACCATTCATTATCACGAGAGCAAGATGAAAGGGAGGCACCGACCTGCGTGAGGTTATGCAGATGCAAAGCATGGGGCTTTAATTTTGCATGTGTGTGTCTGTGCCTAACCATTGCTGTGCGTACATTTGCCCATGTGCACGCATGGTCACGCGTGCTTGGGTGTCTGCATTTGCATTGGCATGTGCATGAGATGTGTGTGGCATGCGCATGGGCATGTCCCTTATATGTGCATGTCTGTCACACACGCATTCATGCATGCATTGGAATATCATGTGCATACATGCATGCATGTGAACATCACATGCAGCTGAAGATGGACGCGGACAGGCTGCTTGAAGCCACACGGGTTGGCAAGGATGAGTTTCAGCAGGTACATGCATCTCTCATGCACCTGTACCTAATGTGCTTAACACCTCTTCTGCACTTGCTTGTGCATTCGTCTCTGTCCTCTGAGCTTTGTTCAGATTGCACTCACAAGCCCCTGCAGGCCGCATCTGTCCCTGATGCCAGCACAGCGTCCCCCCTGTGACACACTTCTGAGGCGCCATTATAATGCAGTGTGGCTAATCCGTCCTGTGCTACACTAATGAGGGGACCTCTACAATGCATCGCGGCATAGCCATCATGTGTTCATGCCACCTTGTGCAGCATGGCACACACGGAACATCCATTTTGTGTTCACACCACCCCACAATGTGCTACCTCCCTGCGTCACCAGGTGGTGGCAAGCATGGAAGCCCACTGTGCAGACCTGTTTGGGTCGTCCCACAGCTGCCCCACACCCAGCAAGGCACAGGAGCACTCTCTGCCACGCCAGCACCCACCAGTCCAGCAGCAACAGCAGCAACAGCATCAACAGCAGCAACATCAGCAGCAGCAACCGCAGCAGTGTAACCAGCAACAGCTCAATGATATGCACCAAGCTTTAAGTAGCTCACTCTGTGAATCACCACTCAGAGCTTCACACGATGCAGCAAAAGCTGATGGTGCCCGTGGGGCAGCTGAAAAGGATGGATCACTGATTGTCAGGCACGCCCAGTTGGTGAGTTGCAGAGCATGTCATGGGTTGCATAACGACGTGGTGCGGGGTGGTGTATGGCACACATGGCGCATGTCGCGGCTTTTTATTATGTGACACGCTTGGTCGGGCAGCATATGACTTTCTGGTGCATGGTGTTGTGCAGCATGGGGTGTGGGGCATGGGGAGCGATGGGGCGTTGGACATGGTACAGTGTGCGCCATGTGGCACAATACATGTGTCGCATCAACGGGGCTTGCATGGTCATCATCCATTGTGTGGTGCATTTAGAACATCTTCATGGATTTCTGCATGTGGTTGCTGCATATAGTCTCATGTCCTACGTATGCAAAACATATGTCTTAGAACAGGTGCAACTACTGCACTCCATTTTCATGTCCCGTGCACCACACAGGAGCAGTGCATGCATGCTGCTGACGTGGCACACCTGCACCAGCAACGGCATCACCAGCAGCCGCAGAGCATTGCAGCTGCTGATGTGGCAGAGCACCAGCGGAGCACTACCTCAGCTGACGTGGCACCACAGTCACAGGCTCCTGCCAGCAGGAGCAACAACCGCACCATGCCATTGCCCCAAGCCAAGCTCACTCTCCTAAAGAGACCCCCAGGTATATGCAATCCAAGCCCCAGAGGGACTACAAAAGGTGTCCTTATTTTGCCCATCTTGGCGTGTTTGCATATTCTCCCCATATGTGTGTCTATAAGATGCTGGCACCTGTATGCATGGGCTTCCACAGGGCGTTACAGGGTCTCAGGCCCCTCTGCCATGAACCACCACATGCCACACCTGACATGCCCCTCCCCGTGTGCCCCTTCCCACGTGTCCCTCCCCGCATGTCCCTCCCCGCATGTCCCTCCCCGCATGTCCCTCCCGCGTGTCCCTCCCCGCGTGTCCCTCCCCACATACCCCGCTCCCCATGTTTCTCGTCCTGTCAAACCAACCCCGTTTGTTTCTCCATGTCCACCCAGGCCCTGCAGGCAAGCTGTGTCAGGCGAAGCTGCTCTTTAAACGCGTCAAGACCGCAGCTGCCTAGAGGGATGTAGCACAACCAAGGCCAGGGAAAATAGGTTAATATAGACAGATACATAGTGGAAACTAGGAATCCATGTTTTTAACTTTGTTAAACACAAGTTGAAGGTTTCTCAATATACATTATGTTACACATAAATAGCCCACTGTAACATGGATGAACCGTGCAAGGGGTTGCCACATCTTCATTGTCTTGGAAAATACATACCCTCACAGGAGCATGAGTGGATGGTGCCTCGCCTTCCAACCTACCCTCCCATCTACTCCCTCCTCTGTGGGTGTATCATTGCAGATGTATCAATCCCTCTGCTCGTCACTCTCCCCGCACCCACCCCACCACACCACAACCCAACCAAACCTAGTGCACGTTTAGGTCAGGTGATAGCACAAAATGAACTTAGATGGTAACCATGATGAAAGTAACTACAACGATGGATAAAATCTGTTGGGCTGAGGTGCCCTAGGATCTTTGTAGAGTTAAAGTATGAGTAGGGTTGTGATAGCGGAAGCGTTTAAGTGAAGTCTTGAACCACCTTGCGCTGGTATGTGAGGGCAAAGTAAGTTAATTAAAACAAGCAAATACAAGGCCTTTTATAAGAGTACAAGGGATACGAATAGATATAATTAAACTGTTTTGCTGTTGCGATTCGATACAGTGCGACTCGGGCAAGTGCTCAATGTCGAGTCAGTTGTTTGTCCTTGCTGTCGCGCTGCATTTGTTAAGTCAAAGGTCGCTGACCTTTGACCTTCTCGTAACCTCCGGCGGTTACCCTAACCTCCGAGAGTTGACTCGTTGCACTTCGATTTGAGCTGCTTCGCTTGTGTCCTGAGTTTTGACACGACAGAGGCGCTTAAGACTTGTTGTTCCCAACACTCCCCTTCGCTTCTGGAGTGTCGCAGATGGTGACGTGGCTTTGTCCAGTCAGCAACATGCAGTACTCGAACTTCTGTTTTCCGAGCTTCTTGGTCAAGTAGTCGGCTGCCATCTCGGACGTGGGACAGTAGGATAATTCGAGTTTCCCTTTCTCGATCTCGTCTTTTACGAAGAAGTATCGCAGAGCGATGTGCTTCGTTCTGTTCGCGAATCCGCTTTTGTTGGCGATGCGAATTGCAGATTGGTTGTCGCAGAACAGGGTGAAGTTGGGTAACTCGGCTAACTTTGCTTCTTCCAGCAGCTCGCGAAGGTAGAGTCCTTCCTTGGTGGCTGAGCAGAGGGCGATATATTCTGCTTCAGCTGAAGAGAGAGCGATTAGTTCCTGCTTGCTCGACTGCCAGGAGATGGGTCCGATAGGCTCGAGACGATAGATGTAGCCAGTGCGGGAGCGCCTGTTATCGGAATCGCCGGCATGATCGGCATCGACGTAGCCGATTAGTTTCGTTGATGTAGTTTCGCTCTTGTAGTAAGTCAGGCCGATCGTCGGAGTGCTCACGAAGTAGTGTAGTGCGCGGTCGAGCTCCGCCAGGTGCTCTGCTTCGGGTTTCTTGAGGTAGGTAGCAAGTTGGCTTGCGGAGTAGGATAGATCCAGGCGGCAGGTGACGGCTGCGAAGAGGAGGCAGCCCAGCTTCCTCTGGTAGTCGCGTATTCCGGCAGCTTTGAGTGGAGCGGAATTTCCTTTGTCATTTCCTGCCGGGTAGCGGTATGGCGTGGCGATAGTGGTAGGTGTGAGAGAGAAGCGCTTGGCGATGGTGTCGGCATATTTCTCGGCGCTGAGGTAGATAGCATTCTCTTCTTCGCGGATGCTGAGTCCGAGATACTGAGTGACGGTAGAAGAGACCGTGAGCGTGAGGTCCTTCTGCAGCTCCCCTTCGAACCAGGAGGTGATGTCGTTGGTGGAGCCGATGTAGAGTAGGTCGTCGACGTAGACGATCAGCAGGATGTAGTCGGTGTCTTTAGTGAGTCGGTACATCCCTTGGTCGTGAGGTAGTTGGCGGAATCCGATGCGAGTGAGGCGGGTGTGTAGGTGCTGTTGCCACAGCCGCGGGGCTTGTTTGATTCCGTAGAGCGATTTCAGTAGCTGGCAAACCTGATTGGGTTTTCCGTGGGTGCCGTGTGGGAGTTCGACGAAGATTTCGGCGTCGACGGGTGCGTAGAGGAATGCGTTGGCGACATCAATTTGTCGCAGTTTCTTCTTCTTCATGGCGGAAACGGCGAGAAGGATTCGGAGAGAGGTATGTCGACTAACTGGGGCGAATGTCTCGGTGGAGTCTCGTCCTTGCTCCTGGTCGAATCCACGCACGACCCAGCGTGCTTTGAACTTCTCGATTGTGCCGTCTGCTTTCGTTTTGATGCGGAAGACCCATTTCCCGGTGAGAATGGTCTTGTTCCTTGCCACGCTTGCGGGAACGACCTTCCATGTGTTGCGTTCCTCCAATGCTTTTAATTCTCTGTCCATGGCTTCACGCCATTTCTCCCTGTGTTCCCCCCCAAGAGCCTGCTGAACCGTCGCAGGCTCTTTAGGAAGAGCATTGCCGTGGACTGCGGTGACGAGGCCAAGGATTTGCAGTCCAGTCTGTGAGTATCGGGGGAGTGTTGTGTCCTCGGGATAAGCTGCCTCGTCTCCCGCTTCTGGGTCGGGTATGAAATTCGGCCCTATCCTTTTTGCTTCGTTTGTGTTGACTGTCGCAGGTGTTACGTAACCGTTGTCGGCGAAGTGATAGAAGACTTCGGCGTTGACACTGTCGCGAGGATTTTCTTCGTCCATGGGCACGTCGACGGAGCAGAACGGAAGAGGTCCGGCTTCTTCCGATGCGTTGTCGACGTTCTGTTCATCCCAGTCTGCTTCGTCCGCTGCTGAGGCGAAGGCTCGGTCACCACGAAAGCCACCTGTGAGGTCCTGATTCTCGTGCAAGTTGGCGAGGTACGTATGGAGTGTGAGTCGCTCGTAGAAGATCACATCACGTGCTGCTACTATTTCCTTTGAGTGGACGTCGAAAATTTTCCACGTGTTGTAATTCTTTTCGATGCCGAGGTGTAGTCCCCACTGTGCCCGTTATGAAAATCTTCCCGCTCGTGCTTCTGGGGGTCGGTACTGTACCATACACCCGAAAACTCGTAACATTCTTGTGCTGCCCAGCTTTCCTGTCCACAGCAGATGCGGTGATGCGTTGCTCGGAAGTGAAGACGACGACAGCAAATTGCGCAGCATGACAACATGGTCCATTGCTGCAGGCCACTGGTGGTTGGGTAGCCGCATGCCACGTAGCAGTTTGCGCATGCTGTTCTGCAGAGTCCTGTTCATTCTTTCTGCGACACCTTGCTGCTGATGGGCGTAGGGAAGGGAGAGGAGTTGCTTGATCCCCCTTTCCGCCAGGTACTGCTTGAAGCGCTGAGAGGTGTATTCTCCTCCTCCGTCTGACTGGAAGCTTTTCAGCTGTGTTCCTGATTCTCTCTCTGCTACCGGTAGCCAAGCGGCGAACGCTGCGAGTGCCATGTCGCGGCTGGGTAGGTTTCGGTGCCAGACGTATCGAGTAGCGGCATCGATGAAAGTTATCGTGTAGTTGGAAGTAACTTGTCCAGGTTCTCGACTGAAGAGGATATCGCTGTACACCTTCTCGAGTGGTGCGTACGCGGGTGCCCTCGGGTTGTGGTGCGAAGCAAACGGTCGATGTGGTAAGTCGGCTTCGGGACAGATGAGGCAAGTTCCTCGTGCCCGTTGAAGTTCTCTGCCGTCGAGTACTAGTAGCGAATCCTTGTCTAGGACGCCTGCTCGTATCGTGTTGTTTAACACAGTGTTGCTTGGATGTCCTGTGCGTGCATGCCAGATGTCTTCGGAGGCGCGGTGTCCGGGTGAACGTTGATACACATCGGAGTTGGAGTAGAAGCTGGCGACGAGGTTTGCGCTTCTGTAGGCTTCTCGTGGAGTCAGGTTCAGCTGCTGTGCGGGTGTTGGTGGTGCTTCGTCGACGAAGACTGGTGTCGTTGGTCCTGCTGCTGCCGATGTTGTCTCTGCTGCTGCCGATGTTGTCTCTGCTGCTGCCGATGTTGTCTTTGCTGCTGCCGATGTTGTCTCTGCTGCTGCCGATTGTTGAATCGTTGCTAACGCCCGTGTTCGTTCTGCTTCAGGGATGGTGTGCGAGTACCAGAAGCCTCCCGGGCTGAAGTCAGGATCGAGATCCGGGGGATGTGTCCAATCGGTGAAGTTGACGATGGCATCGCTGTTTGCAGTGCCCAGGTCTGGGACGAAGTCGAGGACGAAGACGTTGTTCTTCAACACCACCTTTCCGATGTAAAGACCGCCCTTCCCGTGGTACAGCTTGAACTCCTGGGTGGTGCTGTCGGCTTCCAAGTGGATGCCTTTCGCCATCAGCTGGCTGACACTCAGTAAGTTATAACCGAGTCCCTCCGCGATAAGTACCTTTGACATGTGCAGTATGACGTTTGTCTCTCGTGACTGAAGTTGTACAACGCCTTGTCGTCGTGTGCGCATGTTTTGGTTGTTGGCGACCGTGATGACTACTTCTCGCTGAAGTCGATGTTCGCGTTGAACGAAGCGTCCTGAGGAGCACATATGTTGTCAGCAGCAACTGTCCAAGAACCAAGTATCTTGTCCGGACGGTTCGCTTTGAGCGATGGCGGCGTACGTCGGGTTCGGCTGGAGTGACTCGCGGCGAGGCGTGCTGTTGTCGAGCTCTTCTTCCGGTGAGTAGTGAGGTGGTGACTCGGTTGTGCAGGAATCGGTTATCTTCACCATGCAATTGACAATGTTTCTTGCTCCTTGTGCAGATTGTCCAGTTGAAGTCGTTGAAGCTTGGATTGTCGGATTTGCTTGCGTCGAGGCGACTTGGGAGCTTGAAGGCCGAAGTTGTCGCTGTGGTGTCGTCGATTGCTGACGAGACGGGCAGTGCGTACGAGGATGACCCGAGGTCTTGCAGATGTGGCAGAACGGAGGTACTGTCTTCGCTTGTTGTTGTTGCCGATTGTTGTTGTTGTTGTATCGTCGCTGAGTGTGAAACGCAAACTCCGGTGCTAATGTTTTCTTCTTGTGTCTTTCTTCTTGCAGGTCC